TGGGGGCTGGTGGAGGGGCATCTGTGAGGTGTCTCCTGGCAATGGGTGCCCTTAGTGAGACCCTGCCAAGGCCTGCTGATCCCAGGGGCTCTTGGCTCTGTTCTTGTTGGAGGATGGTTCATATCTCTAAGCACAATTCCCTGGTAGCAAGGAAAAAAACACATCTTCCACTCTGCTCTTTGGGGATCTTGTAATCTCTGTTCTCAAGTGCTGGTGGAACGCTTCAAGCCAGGCAGTTCCTGTTCCTGGAAGCAATGGTGTAGATAAGGGCTTTATCTTGAGCCACTCGCTGCATAGAAGCAGTGACACCTGGTTCCTGATTGCTCAGCCTTGGGTCTCTGGCTTTAGTCCAGAGTGTGGGGTGAAGGCTGAGGAGTAATGGGCACTGGGAATTTAGGTGGGACATGCTGGATTCTGTGGGTTGGGTGACATGGCTTCAGGGTAGCAGTATTCAGTGCCTTCTAGGAGGCCTTCCCTGGCTTGGAAATGTAGAAACCATGTTTCCTGGGCAGTAATTCTTCAGTAGCTCCAGTGACTGTAGGGGTGACTCTAGAGGTGGTGGTCTGAGGGTTTAGAGCCTTAGTCTCTGGGGAACAAGCTGGGCTGGGAGGGCTAGTGGTGATGTCCCGGTAAGCTACAGAGCAGCAGGCAGGGGTGGGCGTTGTGACCCACAGTGGTGGTTCTGTGCATTCTGTTTGAGGACCGAGAACAGGGCAGGTGAAGTGCAGGGAGCCTAGTGACAGAAAGCGCTGGGGACTGGGTATGGGTGGCCTAGGGTACAGGACCAAGGCCAGGGCGGGGGTGCGTGCTTTGAGTCTTGGTTCTCTACCTCACTGTAGTATAGTCCCCTTGTGGGATCCTGGGAGGCTGGGTGTGGTGGTGTGGTGTGGGAGCAGCAACTAACTACTGGAGACAGTCAGGACCCCTTGGGATGAACTTTTAGTTCTAAAGGGGTGGGACTTCTCCCAGCCATCTTGAGAGGTGGCTAGTGTTTTGAACAGACAGCCAATTAGAGTCTGTGGCCTTGGGCCCTTGTTATGTAAAATAAGGAAAACTGTCCCCCGTGGGGTAGTTGTTAGGATTGTTTTTCTTCCTCTCTACCCCATCCCATTTAATCTTCTTCCTAAGATTGGATAATTGCTATGGGAGTCACAGCTATAAATCTGGGTGAAATGGGATTGCCTAGTTAGTAAGGAATCACAATCTAAATTTACTGACCTGGCCAGGCGCAGTGGCTCACGCCTATAATCCCAACAGTTTTTGAGGCTGAGGTGGGTAGATCGCTTGACGTCAGGAGTTGGAGACCAGCCTGGCCAACATGGTGTGAAACTCCATCTCTGCTAAAACAAACAAACAAACAAAAAACAAACATTAGCCAGGCATGGTGG